TATTATATTAGAATTATATCAGTATAATTTTTATTTCATAAAAAGTTTTTGCATTTATGCAAGTATTTTAAAAAACTTATTATGTAATTATTTATAGAATCATATTAATTTTCACAGTACAGGAAATTCTCATCAGTTTGAAATTTGAAAGATGAAATAACCATGATTTCAAACTATCAAGTTTCAAATTATCCGCGATATACATATTTCTGTACAATATGTCAAATGCTGTGTAACTGATATAATTTATTAAGCAAATGGAATATGGCTATGTATACAGAATGTTATTTTCATTAACTGATGATTAATAATAATAATATAAATAAAATGCAGGTAGCAGTATGTGTCTAGTGATGATCTCACAGGTTGCCAGATAGATTTTATAAAAAGTAAAGTGGAATTCCTCAAATGTAGCCCAAATTATTTTTAAAGTAGTCCAATAAGTAGTAAATCACTGAAATGTAGAAGCCTAGAGCACTACAAATATTTCAATCTGCTGCTTGCATCCAATCTTGCAATCCTGAAAACCAGCCATGTTTCATGAGATAAGAGGAAAAAGAAGACTATGGTGAACCAAAAATGTGTTACAGTAAAAGCAAAGCCATATTTAGAGTTGTTCTTGGTCTATTTGTTCTCTTATAGAACGAAGGCACTTTGATCTAAACCAGTGTTTTTCAACCTGTGGGTCGCAACCCCCAGGGGGGTCTCAAAGCCTTACACTGGGGTTGCGGGTAAAAGAAAAAGACAAGTGTTTGTAGGTCCTACACTACAATAAAAAAAACTACAATTTCAGTGAGAAGGCTGTGCCTGTTTATTTTACACTGTAAAATAAACCTGAAAAGCCAATTGTACTGTAAAATTTACAGTACAATTCGTTTTTCAATCAATATTTAGCTCTCAACAGAAAGAAAATTAAATACATAGTTTTTAAAATCACTGATATAGTTTTAATATGGCCCTGGGGGGTCACCAGAATTTTTTAACTTGTAAAGGGGTCACGTATTCAAGAAGGTTAAAAACACTGATCTAAACAAATGAGTTAACATATACATATTACAGTTTGGACAGAATTTTCACTTTGAATTTCAAAGTAGCTGTATTTTGAACTAACTGAATTACTTAACACATAAATCTTTATATCCTTGGCCAGGATAGAAGTACACTTACAAACAACCAAAGATTTTCTATAACAACAAAACTAAAAATTAGCCAGTTCCATCCACTATAAATAAAGCAAAACTTTTTTTAATTAAACAAACATTTTTATTATATTAATTCATTAAAATTTTTAAAATAGCAATTTAAAAAAAATCAAAAACATACTTTAACTGAGAGTGAAATTTTGATGCTTTGTTTAAAAAATCCTCCCAAGCGGGAATTCCACCCTAAAAAAATAAAAATAAATTATATATTTTTTTTGTGATCTTCAAAATACATTCTATTAAATTAAATTTATTTACAATCAAAACTTTTATAAATAGATTTTTATTTCTAATTTCTAAACAGATTTTCATTTTCATCAGTTGCCTGAAATTATCAGCAGTATAAACATTTGATATTTTCCAATAAAATAAAATCATTTTATTCAAACAAGTAAACATACAAATAATTTACTAATGTTTTCAGGAAGATGGTTTTTTAATGTAAAGATATACAGTATATGGAGTTACACTGTATTTTGTATGTAAAAGCTGATATATGAATTTATTAATAATGAAAATAGATGGTCCAATTGAAATTGTTAATCATATTTTTGTGCAAAACAACCATGTTTTCTTGATTCTAAAATGTCAAATCCTGAAAGAAAATTAATTTGCAAATATAATGTGCACATCACCAAACACAGCTAAAAGTTACTGTATTTAAACAGCAATAATTGCATTTTTTTAAATGTTTTATTGTCATGTTTATAGTGCTTCACAATGTTCACATTTCTATATATATTCATTTATGCCTCCATTATCAAGTAGAGAATTTGCAGAGTAAACTGTATTGTGTAAAACATGATTATATGGAATCAATATTTTAACAGCAATATTTCACATTGGAATGCATAAACATAAAATTTTTCAGATAGATAGCATCATAATGAAATATCTGTATATGTGTTCTTCTCATAGTGGATAAACTACTTAAACTTACCTTCAGGGAACCATCTGCTGGACATTGATCACTCAGCTTTCTGTAGTTCAAAAGACCATCAAACAGTTCCAAAACCAAACTAAAACCAAAGTAGTAGAAGGAACATATCATGTTTATACTGACAAAATAATGCATAAAAATTTCCAACAGGAATAGGGAGCAAACAATGCAAATAAGACTGGATTAAGTTGGCTTTGTGTCTTATTCTAATGCATACCTCAATCTTCAAAACCAGAAAATTCCAAAAAAAAAAAAATACACCTTAGAATTGAGAAAATATGGTATAAATCTCAATCCTATTAATGTTCATTTTTTCAAATTGTTATTTACAATAGAATTATTGAATGCATTAATTTTATATAGAACAGTTTCTCAGTACCAATTGTTCAAGAAATTCAAAGTTGTCTGTTTTACATGATTTTATTAAACTTATAACAGAAACTTTTTAATTCAACAAAATTGTAGCAGACAGATGTTTTTGCCAATCTAGAAAGGCTATCATCAGGTTCTATAACAAAATTATATTTGAAATGTAGAAGCATTTTCCAACTTCTAGAGACTTATCATCAAACAATTGCAGTCATTTAATTTTGTTTTTATTTTTAACTTTTATTTACTATTTTAACCCTGTTACTTTTGTTAATTTTCAAGTTTATTTATTGCTTATCTTTGTCATTATTTTATCTACATTATATATTTATTTTTATATACAGTAGAGCGTCGATTATCTGAATCAATTGGGGACTGGGGTTGTTCAGAATATCGATGTTTCGGATAACCGATTATGTACGAAAAAATATATTAATTTTTTCCATCTTGACATTTTTCTCCATTGCGTGTCGCTTCGCGTTGAATTTTCATCGATGTTAAGCCTAACGACGACTATTGTGTCGTTAAAAATTATTTTTTTATTTTGTACGAACAAAATAAATATATTGAAAAATATAAAAACAATAAAAAATTATACTTTAGAAGTTAATTTAGTATCAAAAACGTAAAATATTTGAGTAGCCCAAGACATAGCCAAAGATTGCAGTGCCACAGCACTGGTAATAATTTAAATTTGCCGACTGGAATTCTTTCGGATGATTGACTTTCAGATAATCGATGCTCTACTGTATTCTTAATTTTTACATTTTACATTATACTTTTAGCAATAATGTATTGTTGTTCCATCACATGATTTTTATGTTTCATATATAATTTTATTTTACAACTTGAAAATATCTTGGTGGTCATCAAGTTCAAAATGACTAAAAATTTTTGTTTACTTAATTTTTCTGAATTAAAAGGTTTATTATAAATTAAATTAAATTCTTTACTCAGTACATTCCCTTTTCTTGTTTGTTTATATATATTTACTTTATTTTCATTCGTTAAAATACACTCCTTGAAAGTGAAATTACAACACCACAAAGGAATGCACATAGACACGTGTAAATTGCAATACTGGTAGATATGACAGAGATATGTAAATGATTAAGTTTACATGCACATCAGATCATGTGGTATCCAGTTTGTGGTAGTCACCCAAACCATTTGCAACAGGTTACATGAAGTCAAGGTGCACACATGGCAACCAACAATTGGGGTGCAATTAATCACTCAACACAGGACTGTGTGGTGTTGTCATCACAACTGGATCACTGAATGGCATTGGATATTGTTTACAGATAAATCCCACTTCTGTCTGTGAAGGAATGACAGCCATGGATGGGTGTGACAGTATCCTGGGAAATGCTACATGACAGCTCTTTTCACAGAGCATCATACTGGTTTGACAGAAAAAGAACACCTGAGGGATAATTATAATAATTACCTTTAGGTGTGCTATGTTAATAATAGATTGGATAAAAATTGTCCTACAAGAAGGACAATTGACCAATCCATAAAGCTGTCCTTCCAGTAAGACTTTCATACTGGATTTCATAGAGCATGCATTTTTATCATAATAAAACAACACTTGCAGAGTACAGAACGTTTATTTCGGCATACAAAAAATGAACAATATAGTTACTATTGTATGTATTACTCTTCTGTGTTGTTTAGTTTCAAATTCTGTATTGAAGATGGTACTGGTAACAGTGTCTTCCAGATATAGATCCACAGAGAGTTGCAGTGGGTCTAGCTAGCCTTTTACTGTTGTACCATGTGCAGGGAAGAGTCTTGTAATGACAGGCTGTACAAGGACAGAGAAAGCAGCTGGACAAGCTGTTGTTGAACTTCTTGTGACAAGTTGTTTGATTAGCTCAGGAGGTAAATGCAATATGTAAAACAGTTTGATGTAAATTGCTCTGGAAATAAATGCAAGGTAGGTCTTTGTTTCAATGATTCCAAACATAGATGCAAAAACATGATGGTGCTATTGTTTCATACTCCAAATGTCTTCCAGTGCTAGACCTGATTGCCTGAGATGATTATGCACATCAATTGCTAGCATTCCACTGTGACATTCATGTACAAATTTTGTCTACTGTATCTCCCTTTCAAATGTTTGGCCAGCAACATCTGTATGTTACTTCAGTGAAGGTGGGCAGACAATGTTGTGCCACATACTATCACAAACTTATGCACTTTTCTATCTCTCCATGCAAGGGTGTTGCAGCTAGTCTTTCAAAGGCATAGTGCTGGCTGCTTCAAAGAGTAAAGTTGTATTTCTATGAGCTCTCTGGATTATTGCCGATTTTCCCAGAAATTTTAACTGCATGTGGACTTTCAAGATATCATTCTAATCAGCTTGAAACCCTGGTTCATATGATATATTATTTATGCCTATATCTTAATTATGGGGGAGTTTCTCAGTTCACATTTTTTGGATTTTCAGTCTCATCTAGCGGGCGGGGGCGGAACCAGAGGCCATTGGTAGGGGCGGTTCAGGTATCTGTGTGGCAAGTTCAGTAGGGGTGGTGTCAATATTAAAGGGGCTATATCGGTTTAAACCTGGTTGCATTAGCTGCTATGGGTTTTTGTTTTTTTGAATTTTTTGCCCATTAGAACCATTCAATGGTTCTTTTTTAACCTTCTCTAATGGTTTTTTCAACAGATCTTAACATTTTTCGTAACAGAATTTTGCACCTGCATTTTGTTTCCTGCAGCTGCTTTTACTTTTCATTGTTGGGTGGTTGATTGTTGTAACTGTCACTCATGTGTGATTGTTGTAGCAGTCTCTTTGATCTTTTAGTATATTTAACATTATTTACTACTTTTTTTTTAATTGTTTTACTCTAATTTTTGGTTTTATAAGTAATTGGTTATTACTTGTACTCTTTATTTATTTAGTTGATTTAGTTTTTGGTCCGCACTTACCTTTTGAGCCGCTTTGTTTTCACATTGGCTTGGCATGGAAGACTGTGGCCCCCTATGATTTGCCAGCAAGGCTGTTAAGGTGCTGAATGATCTGAAGGATTACATTGCTTCCAACAGTAATGGAAGACTAAGTACGGATATGCATGCAAAGTATATTATTGAGCAGTTCCAGTGTGTTATTGATTTAGCCTGTTCTTGCGAGATCTTCAACTTGTCAGGTGTGTTGGATAGTAAGATAGTAAGGATAGTAACTTGGGTCCTTAGTCACCAAAGAGGATTTAGAGATGGTGCTGGCTTGTCAGTCAGCCAGAGCAGAGGCCTCTTTTAAGGGTCTTGCAGAGGAGGATCACGGTGTTAGATGCATTTGTCCTGCAGATGGGCAAGTATGTGGTTCCAGACAGCCATTTAGTTACAGCGATGCTGTCAGGCATTCCTAGTTTACGGGGAATCCGATTCGTGTGACTTCAAGGCTACGCGCAGGCTACTCACTAGCAGCATTAGTCCACATCAGCTCAAGATCAGTATGCAACATATCTGCAGTATTCAAAAGATGGTGTTGCTATCGACCTCAGTTGTAAGGGAGACATGGAGGTTCTCCAGCTCGCTGGGCTGGCCAACCTGCGTGCTACTGTTCCAAAGAAACATCTTCCATTGGTGAGGATCAGTTCTGTTCCGAAAGATGTGACAAAGGAACACTTACTTGAAGTAATTTACAAACAGAACGGGGTTATTGCTGACTTGTACAGTTGGGAGGAATTCATGGGAAAGGCCAGGATCCATTTCCCTATTAGCCAACGGAGCTCACAGCACATTACTTGTATTGTTAAAGTGGCCCAACATTAGAAATCTTCTCATTAAAAAAGAACAAATCAACCTACAGTGGACATGATGCAGTATTGTAGATTTTGTGCCATCAAACCAATGCTTTATATATCTCAAATTTGGGCATTTTGCAAAGGACAGCAAGTCCAAATCTAAGGTGTGAAGCCAGTGTGGCGATAATCATTCATATAAAGATTGCAAAAAGAAATCCGAGATACCAACCTGAGCTAACTGTGTCAGAGAGAAGCCGAGTAATCTTAGGCACAATGCTTTCGCTAATGAGTGCCCCATTCAAATAAGAATGAAAGCTCAAGCTACCTAAAGGATTGATTATGGATTATAACAAACGTTCAGATATCAGTTTTCAAGGCTTTTGAGCTCTGAAAACTGATCCACTTTGTGCAGGTCAACTTACAAAGAACCATTGCTGCCAATTCACAACTCTGTCAAAAACTGGAGAATTATGATGTAGGTTTGGTTCAAGAGCCTTACAGCGTTAATGACAGAGTTGCATTTTTCGAAGTAAGAGATAACATTATCCAACATAACTCCCACATGGGGTGGGGAGCATAAGGATGGGCAAGGAGATGCCATGGAAGCTTTCATGCCAACTCATGACATGCTCATCATCAACAACCCAGATTAACAACCTATTTTCAACAGTGCAAATGGAATCTCCTGGATAGACCTCTGTTCAGGGGGCTACACACCTTTTTAAAGAATTGGCGAATGGGCATAGTGGACAGTCTATCCAAACATGAATATTTGACATTTGAATTTCACTATACTGATTACTATTGGGAACAAGACTTAATCACTTCACACCCTTTCAATACAACTGGTGTTGGTTTGAGGACCTCATCGAATACAGGCCATGAAGTACATTGAAAACATTATTAAAAATATCAATGCCACATGCCATGAGACCATCCCCAGAAAGAAAAGTCAATCAAGGGCTGGTGGAATGATAAGTTGGCATCAATGCAAAGATATAACAACTGACTGCAGAGGAATTATCAGTGTTGTAGGGGTGAACAAAGAGAGGAGCTTCACCAGAAATACCTCCAGTATCAACAAGGATACAAAGATGAAATAAAGAAAACAAAGTTGGAGTCTTGGCATTCTTTCTGCTCCAATTCAGAGGGAGAGCCCTGGAGCTTTATATATCAAGTGTCAACAAGCTAAAGACACTAAATCTCATCAGCAGCAAGGACAAAGAAACCATTGCTGATGACCTCCAAGTTACCATAAACAGATTATTTGATGCTTTTTGCCCTCATAATTCCAACAATAAAGATACTCCTGAACAGGCCCGTATTGGAACCCTCACTCATTATGAGAACCTCTCGGGAAATGACCTGCTCTTTTCCTTTATGGAAGTTGATGACATTATTGCCATCATGCCAAAGAAGAATGGCTGCTGGGCCAGATCAAATAAATGCAGACATCATCCAGGAGATCTGGAGACTTTGACCGGACCTTCTTCTGGGAATTTACAACACCTGTTTGCAGAAGGGAATTTTCCCAAAACCTTGAAAAACATGCTCAGCTTGTTATCATTCCAAAAAAGCACCATTTACCACTCACAATCAACAATATGTGCAATATCTTACTCTTATCGATATTAGGTCTTAGACATGCTGTTATTCAATAGACTTTACTGGTTCTGGGAGTCGTGAAGGCTTTTTCATGACTCCCAGTACAATTTTTGGTGGCAAAGAGGAACTACAGATGGATCTAAAGGCATACATCAGAAACCTACTCACTGGAAGTGTCCATGTGTTCAGGCTTAGCCTGGATTTAAAAAATGCTTTCAACATGGCATGGTGGCCATTGATTTTGCAGAGGCTAAGTGAGAATGGATGTCCTGAAAACCTCTTCAATCTGGTTAAAGACTACCTTAGGGACAGAGAGACCCTCATTAGAATTGGGCAGCAGCTTTTCTTGAATAAACTACAGTGGGAGTGTCCACAGGGTTCTGTCTGTGGCCCCAGTTCTGGATTATTATTTTTGACAACTTTCTTCATCTTGACTTTGGCCATCAGTGTCAAATTTTTGCCTACACTAATGATGCTTTTCTCGTCTTTCCCACTAACTCTAGATGAATGATTGAAAATGCTGCCAGTGATAATTTGATGAGTTAATGAATGGGGCACCAACAATAAACTAATATTCAATGCAACTAAGGTGAAGGGTACAGTAGAGCATCGATAAAAAAAAAAAATCCGATTCAATTGGGGACTCAGATTGATCAGATAACTGAAAAAATCGGATAACCGAAAAGAATGAAAAAAATACATTATTAGTATAGTATATTAGTATATCGCTATTAATTAGTAAATGTAATTAGTAATTAGTATATTCGTACAGTATATCGTTAACCTACTTTGCGTTGAATTTTCATCAATGTTAAGCCTAACAATTTTTAAAAAATAATAATCGTTGCTATTGTATTGTTAAGACTAACAGCACAAAACCTTTCTCACTAATTTCTAGCCTTATTAACTTATTAGCCTTATTAATTATTATTAGCCTTATTAATTTCTAGCCTTAAAAATAGTTCTAGCTACATATGCATAGTAGTCTTGTATTGTTAAAAATTATTTTATTACTCACAAAGCTAACAACCACTCATAATGAAAAAATTAAATCTTGTTTAAATACTAGCCTCCCTTTCATGGTCAAGCCAGTGTTGCCAGCTAAAACACGCAAAAATTTAACAAAAATAATATTAAAATAGCCAAGATATAGCCAAATATTGTAGCGCCACATCACTAGTGGACGTTTGAAATTTTCCGACTAGAATGGTCGGTTAACCGATGTGACGGTTAATCAGGGATCGGATAATCGATGCTCTAGTGTATTGTGTTTTCTACCTCCAGATTGACAAGTCTCTACAAGCGTGTACCATGTGTTCACTTCAGGGACGCTGCCATCAAATAGAACAGCAAATTACATTTCTTGGCGTAATCTTCGATCATAGACTTACTTGGAAGAGTCACATTGCCCATATCACAAATAGGACTAACCTTATTTTCAATAACCTTTTATGTGTTGCCAGGAACAGCTGGGAACTTGCTCACAAGGCTATGAATGCCATATATGATTGTGTGTTTGTGCTTATTATAAGTTATGCATCAGCTGTGTGGAGTGAGGCAGCATTCCACTCCCATAATCACCATAAGCTCAGAACAGCTCAACACTTCTGCCATGACCAGATCCTACACTACTGTTTTGAACTCTGTGCTTCCTGTTTTAGCAGGGAAGCTTCCTATCCTGCAGCAGATTCAACATAGCACTGGTAGGTTTTTCCTCATCCGAGGTAAATGTATTACCATCACAGACTATTCACTTGATGCTTCTTGTTATGAGGTTAGTAGGTCCTTTGCTGAATTGCCACACCCTGCTTTTAGAAGAGGGCTTGGATCTTGTGATTGTACATCTATTATCGGGGTCTACATGGACGGGTCAAAAACCGAACAAGGTACCACCAGCAATTTTGTGGTATATATCAGCAATGAAGAAACACACCATGACATCTTTCTCTTGCACCTGGAGTGCTCTGTGTTCCAGACGATGATGTTCACTGTTTTCAAAGCAATTGACTTCTGCAACAAAAACTTTTACAGCTGTGACATTTCTGTCTTCATGGAGAGCTACGCTACTGTTCAGGTGTTGACAAACAAAGACAGCCTTCACCCTATTGCAAGAAATATTTTTATAATATTCTATGTGATCTTAAAAAATTTGTTTTTGCATTTGAATTTGCAAAATACATGTTCTTTCCTATAGATTCCATATACAATATTCTATTTTGTAGTTTTGGTTCACCCAATGATAGTTATTTAAAATGACCAAAAAACATTGGTGTTTGCTATAAAGTTGTTTGTTGTTGAAAGATTAAAGTGTGGATATATTTTGTAATAAATTTCATTATTCATGCTAAGTAGTTCTAATAAAATAATTTAATTGGAAAATAATATCATCAGTAATACAGAATATTTTTAACATTTTTTTCAAACATTTAACATTTCCATAAATGTCTTCAAAAATTGCAATCAAATATGAAAATGATTACAAAAATTATTTAGTTTCTATAAATATATTATTACTAACCTTTAAATCTCCTATAATCAACTGAAATAATCCACCCAATGCACTGAAATCCTTTGTTTCCATTTTATATATCAGACACTTTTATCAATTTACTGCATCTGTTAATAATATATCAAAAATTAATAATATATTTTAGAAACAAATTTAAAAATATAAAAGAAAATATCTGATATTAACACATTAATGATTAGTGTTCTTTTAAAAGAATGGTTAAAGAAATTAGGCTATTTCAATAAAAATTGTTAAATTCATTTAAATGACAAAATAAATTTATTAAAAAATAAACTTTCTAATAGACTTTTATAAAAAAAAAATATTGAAATTATCATTAGTTATAATATTTGAATTATTTTAAGAAACTGATTTTTATATTCAGAAATATTTGCTATAAATTTTATTTATCAAACAAAGACAAAAACATTACAACATTACACCAAGTCACAGTAAACACATTAATATAAATGTTATGAAATTTTTCAGACTAACATGTAACTTTTAAAATGTCTAACATGTACTTTTTTATTGTTGTTTTAAACAAAACATTGGGCATATGACTTCATAGAAATTCTACCTCAAACAATAGAGAATATGATCAGAAAGTGCAAGCTAGATAAGAAAGAGGCTCAAGGAAGGGACACACAGGCAGATATACAATAGTTGAATATATGGCATCTCTACACAATATATATAAAAAGATGGAAGTAGCTACAAGAAAGAAAATTACTTAGAAAAGAAATCCCACTATATATGGACTACTGCAGAATGATAAAGAGCCCATCAATACAACACACATTCTAGATGTACACGAAATACCACTCAAGGACAACAGGATTAAGTGAGACCTGTACTACACAGGTGCTACTAGTCGGTCATTAACATCACGGATTAAAGAACACAAGGATAGCATCCAGAACGCTAACTCATCTACAGCACTAGCAACTTACATCATGTCTGACCTAAAGTTCATCTCAGTAGACTGAAAGCAGGCTAAAATAATCCAAAAAGTACAAAGTATATTACCTATCAATTTAATCATGCCTTCCTTCCATTATACTATATGTGTACAATAAACACAATTCTGCTATTCACTTTCCTTCCTGGTGTAGCAATTTTAATGGCCAGCAGTGTACATATATTTACTTAAAAAATCCATTGCCAATTGATCTGTGATATTTTAAATTTTTATCTTGATTAGAATTACATAACATTAAAAATGTTTCAGCAGCTTCTCTATCACTAATTTCTGCTTCAATTGCATGAGAAGTTTCTTTTATTTGATACATTGTTTCTGTGAATGTATTTCTTTTAATTCTTTTAGAATATGTTGATTTGCACAAATATTGCTCTTCAGCAAAAGTAAAACTTGGTATCACAGTTTTCTTTAATTGTCTTCTTTTAAACAAAATATATATTTCCATTTCATTTAATACTATATCTTTTTTACATTCATTTGTGAATGTGCATTTCAGGTATTTGCACATATTGGCAAATGAATGTAAAATGGATTCACTATTCAATAAAGTGGATGTAATAACGTTCTGCTGTCTTAAAATACCATTTCATTGTAAGTTGGAAAAATAAAAAATAAAACTTCCTCCTTTTGTTGAAACTGTAATTTTTAATGGAAGAATGAGTGTTTATGTAAGTAATGACAAGTGCTAAGGATTAATGCAGATAATGAGAAAGAAAATTATACAACTGTTATATAAATTAAGAATTTATTTTAATATCTAATAGTCATTTATAATATGAAACTTGAATATATAAGCTAAAGTTAAAAACAATAATTTAAAAGTGATCTGTCATTTGAGTACTTGTCAGTAGACTGCAAGTCACAAATACACATGATCAGAGATAAAGTTGGATGAAAAAGTACACAAGAATTAATATCTCAACAAAAACAAAAAAGTAAGAAACAGGATCTGCAATATCCCACAAACACCCAAAAAAAGCAGTTAAAAACAACTAATTTTACTGTAACAAATGTTTTCATTTCATTCATCTACAATGATCATCATCAGATAATTGAACATAACCAAATAAAACTTTTAAATAACATAACTTTTAAATAAAATTTAAACCAACTTCTGCTTGGTATTTGTTGCAGACAAATGAAAACATTTGTGAAAATAAAAGTAATTGCTTTTAACTGATTTTTTTGGGTGTTTGTGTGATATTGCTGTTACATATGGCCAGTTTGACTTGGTGTGAGAATAATCTGCTACTTTGGATGCAAACATATCAAGAATATCCTAAAAATCTGTAAGCTGATTGATTGTTTTTGTATTTAATTTTTAAAGTCCCCACTTTAAAAATTAAACATGAGATAAATTTACCAGTCTTTCCTTTTCTTTGTTTAAAAAAATTCTGCTTTTTCAAAGTGCTTAAATGGATACGGAATACAGTTGTCATGCAATAACTAGAAAATATTCTCAGAAAAATACTGGAAAATATTTCTATGAAAGTGAGTAGGAACTAACTGCTATATAAAATATTTCATTTCTAATTAGCCACTGTTTACTTCTACAGTGATCTCAATTATTTTGTAGCTTTATCATTTTTATAGTTAATTTCAAAAAATTTAAACATTTTAAATTAAATAACCAAAACTTGTTAAAAATTCAATTTGACCAGAATATGACTTGCCAATTCATTCAATGTCATTAGAATTTTGAATCACAGTCATACTGAATATGATCTCTAAATATTTTCATAAATGCTATTCACCTCTTCTTTCTTAACTTTAAAAAATTTGCTTATGAAAGGAATAAATAATAATAAAAATTACTTTCAAAATTTGAGAAATAAATTTATTTAAAATTCAGATTTCTTTTATTTTAAATGAGTATTCAAATGCAAGAATTGATAACTGATTCTAAAAAGTTCTTATTGTTCCCAAAAACTTGCACTAGGTATTTTAATACCTTTCTGATGCAATCCTTATGAGCTCATATGATAGCAAACAACTCAATTCAAGTAGCAAAAACTAGTGTCTTGTCCTACTGCTGTAAATTCTAATTGCTTTACTATAATCCAACCCAAACTGAAGGAGTAATCAAAACTAATCATTAACCTTAATCTTCAGTTGCCAATTATTAACTTCACAATGTTTTCTACCTTTAAGGTTAAGATTAAGGGTAATGCTTATTATTAAATTTCAGTAATACAAAAACAGTTATTCTGTAATCTGACTTCTCAAGAAATTTAATATTCTGTACTTCAATCTCTGTAATTATCAACATGTTGATTAACTTATTTTCAAAAATTTGGTACTAGTTACTTACTAACAACTCTGTAGAAGATAAATTTGCAGCATGTGTCACCTTATTCTCATTATTTTCATGAATTACATTTATGAGAATACAGGGGTATGAGAGTGTTACTCATAACCCTTTTGATCTGTCGAGTCGTTAGGACCCACTCACGATGTCACTGGATGACTTAAAAATATAGGAGGGTCTTAAATGTGAGTGGGGAGGGACATTGCAGTTAAGTTCCGATCGTAGGCAGTTCAAATGTCCGTAAATGTCAAATGATCAGACAGGTTACATAACAAACAACAAAGAATGTAATAGATATATATGTTTGGTACAACAATAAAACGAAACGAACTAAATTATTGACTAGCTAAGCTACATACATCTCTAAAGAGAGAGTTTACAATTGGTTCAAATAATAATACCTCTGGTTACTCAATGTCTTCTGGATGCATGGAGTTACTTTCAGAGAGAGACTTGAGCTACCTTCTGAGAGGATTGAGTTACTATATTGGAAAGAGTTCATTAGCTTCTGTGCCAGGGTCCAACTTCTATATGGCAGAGTCATCCCTGGGTTATCAGTCTTCTTTATTGCAGTTTCTTATTATTGTCGTCTGCCAGCTATCATGGCAGTTTCTTGTTGATGTGGACTGCCCTGAGAATACGATTTATCTGCCTTTTATTCTCAAAACCTCTCCAATCTGGTTTCAGTATTTGTAACATCTGATGGGATATATTTCTGACGCAAAGGGACAGATGTTTGTCAGAGATGTGTAATAACATCTCTCCCAAAAGAAGTTTTGCTTCCCTTCCCACAAAAAGTGACAAAAACGTGTCATTTTTGATATTAAAATTTTACTTTAAATTGTTGATTAACCGAATAAAATTTTTAACTGATTAAATAAAATTCTTCTCTACTCCTGAATTCTCACACATTTGTTGCTTGTTCTCAAGAATTCAATTCTTGAAAGTTCTTGATTTTTAATTCCAACAAAGACTAATATTAACAAAGATCTTGTGTCCATATCCCCTTGTCACATGACCTTTGTTTCTCTGATAAGATTCAAAATCATTCTTGGAATATAGTTTGTCATGTTCTACAATGACTGTTATAACTAAGGTGATTTTGCTTTATTTGTCTACAAGTGAAATCTTAATTTTCTGCTTTATCCAAGTTATGTTTTTCATACCCAAAACCTCTTCCATTTCCATATTGGATAGCTTTCCAGCTTATAGTAAAATTTAACATAAAAAATATCACTCTGTTTCAGATAATTTTTTCTGTTTAGTAGGTTTGTTTTATTCAGGTCTGTTTTGGACAGGTTTTACTGTACTGTATTTAATTACTGTATATAGTGTATTAATATAAAGTGATTTGCTCAGGACTGAACACTTATAATATAGAATATCTTCATATAAAGTGAAAAGCGAAACATGAAACATGAACAAAATGATTCTTTATTTCAAATAAAGCAATCAACCAAGATATGTTTTATATTACATGCTATTCAAATGTGAATGTGCAATCATGAGGTATTGAATAAAATATAAACATCCAATACCTCAATTTTTAGGTTAATGCCAAATGATTGCCAGATTACATCGTGCTATGATAATATTACTAATTATTAAGCAATTTAGTCTAGAGGTAATCATTAGGTGTCATGATAAATTTAATAATTATAATTAAAATAATTTAGAAAGTTCTGGAAGAATCAATCTGAAGCNCTTTTATTCCACTTTATTTTAGCTCATCTATGCTTGAGGAAGTTTGAGAAGTAAATTTTCTTTAATCATTATATATTTTCTGTGATTTGAACAAATACTTTGGAAATTATCTATTTTAAATTAATTAAATCACTATCAAATTTTTAGGTTTGCTAAAGAAAATCAAGGATTGAATGTATTGTATAATGATTTATTTATAAGCATGAAAGATATTTGTAATATATAACAAGAAAAAATAGATTATTCAACATATTAATTTTTTTTAAATTGGCTAAATTATTTAAAAATTAGGATATTTTACATGTATAACAAACTTGTATGGTAATAATTTGACCCAGGTGCCAAAAAAGTAAAAAATAAAAATAGTGTTTTCTATTATTTTGGAAGGATAAAAATAATAACAATGCTGTTTATATTTTTATTTACAAAAATATTTAATGAAATATTAATTCATTTATAAATAATAGAATAAATCAATAAATTTCATTTTCTAAAAATATAATTTTCATAACAGTTCATTTTTTGTCCCTGAAAATTTTGTGTTTTGTGTCATTAATATTTGTGTGCCTGAATGGCACCCTTTTTATACCACTAAACTATGTAATTCATAATCAGATTTTATTCATAAAATATTAAAGTATAAATTATTATATTTGTACATTTAATTGATTTATACAGAGAAATATTTAAAAATGAATTTTGTTAGGAGTATTAAGTACTGGGCTTGGATGTCACGCCAACAGTTATCTCAATCAAAACTTCTTCCAAAACTTCAGACTATGAGGCGTTAAATATAATTTAAAATATTTTAATCTTGCGAGCGCTTTCGACGTAAATATGCACGTCGTCTTCAGGCAATTCAAAATCGAATTCAATTTTGAATTGTCTGAAGACGACGTGCATATTTACGTCGAAAGCGCTCGCAAGATTAAAATATTTTAAATTATATTTAACGCCTCATAGTCTGAAGTTTTGGAAGAAGTTTTGATTGAGATAACTGTTGGCGTGACATCCAAGCCCAGTACTTAATACTCCTAACAAAATTCATTTTTAAATATTTCTCTGTATAAATCAATTAAATGTACAAATATAATAATTTATACTTTAATATTTTATGAATAAAATCTGATTATGAATTACATAGTTTAGTGGTATAAAAAGGGTGCCATTCAGGCACACAAATATTAATGACACAAAACACAAAATTTTCAGGGACAAAAAATGAACTGTTATGAAAATTATATTTTTAGAAAATGAAATTTATTGATTTATTCTATTATTTATAAATGAATTAATATTTCATTAAATATTTTTGTAAATAAAAATATAAACAGCATTGTTATTATTTTTATCCTTCCAAAATAATAGAAAACACTATTTTTATTTTTTACTTTTTTGGCACCTGGGTCAAATTATTACCATACAAGTTTGTTATACATGTAAAATATCCTAATTTTTAAATAATTTAGCCAATTTAAAAAAAATTAATATGTTGAATAATCTATTTTTTCTTGTTATATATTACAAATATCTTTCATGCTTATAAATAAATCATTATACAATACATTCAATCCTTGATTTTCTTTAGCAAACCTAAAAATTTGATAGTGATTTAATTAATTTAAAATAGATAATTTCCAAAGTATTTGTTCAAATCACAGAAAATATATAATGATTAAAGAAAATTTACTTCTCAAACTTCCTCAAGCATAGATGAGCTAAAATAAAGTGGAATAAAAGTAAATTTAACTGAAATTTCTTTTTACTTCTTGACATCCAAGAAAGCATCTAGCTTTATGTTTATATAAAAATTACTTAATATTTATATATCTTTTAATATCATAAAGAAGTTAACAGAATCAGTTTCAAACTATTGTTGGTTAACTAACCTAACCTGTAAACATGTTTTTGAAATGAAAACACTCTCAGTCACTATAAAAAGCTCTAACAACCATTCATGATCCAAAATTTCCATAAACATGAAAAATATATTAAAAAATTAAATATGGTAAAAGTATTTTTCAAAATTATATATCTTCTGAAAAATTATGAAAATAATAATATATGAAAGTATTCTTATATATTAATTTTGCTTTCAGGTTTCTTGAATACACAATCAAAATTAAAGAGCTCTTAAATTTCTTGTCTCTAGAAGAAATCATAATCAAACTTTACCACTTTTTATTTCTTATTTAGATATACACTAAGCATATAGAAATAACAAAGTATAAATTGTGTTGTTCTTGAATTGCAAATTATCAAAATACACGTTATGAAATCTTAAGATCAAATATACAAAAGCCATTTATTATATATAATTTATAAAATATAAATTTTCTTCAGGTCAGTTTTTACAATCCTAAAACATTTTAAAAAAAGGGCAATCTCCAATGTAATTTATTAAGTGAATAATTATGAAGTAATTATTAAACCTATTCCTAATTCATCATAATAATTATATAAATGAACGGATTTTTAAGTTATTTAATTTGAAAATCCATTTATTTATATATTTATTTCGGATAAATGATATAACACATCAAGCTTTTTCTGTATCGAATTCAGTAGCTTAAGCTATTATACTGTATGTGAATATCTCTCTTCTTAATAACTAAAAGATTTATAAAAATTACAAATTACCAAAGAAGCTAAGCGAATCGAACAACATTGTTTAACTTATACTATTATGCTGAATTTCAAAGTGGGCTCTCATTACCGCAGATTTAATCTGGCTTAAGGTAAAGAATTAATCGAATCCATAAAGTTGTACTTCATCATATCGACTGAATTACATATGAATAACGATCGATTACTTCTTGATCATCATCTTAGGATCACTTTCGACACTATGCATTATATTTTCTTGATATCCGGGATCAATCAAACAATAACAAATAAAATTCGGATTTTAAAATGAATAAATATAAATGTTACCGTGTGGCAATTATCTTTTATTATTATATCAAATAATGAATTATTAATAAAATGATTCGGATGACAAAACTAACTGCATGTTTATCTAAAAGGGCATTGCCACAACAAATGCGGAAGTTACGTTTGCTAGTCACTCACCTCGACCAGTCGAGCCAACGATCTTCCTCCTCGCATTTCTGGCGTCACTTGTCCTTTCGTCATGTGATCATCCAGTTCCGCTTTACGTCACGTGACCTCCTTTTCTCCAATAGAAATCATTAAAAAAACAATGACTTCACATTAATATTCCCATACAGTTATAAACACTGCAATTTACACACCGTTAAACTATAGCAATAAAATATACACTTTATAGTTATCATTATAATAATTCAATTTTCAATTTATTAAAATATTAATAAAAAATTAATAACAAGATTTTTGTATACTTTTGATAATTTTCTAGATTAATGAGCCTAAATTTATTTTTTTATACAGTATTTACATTTTTTTTTATTATATGTTTTATTATAAACAATTTATTTTCAATAATATATATTTATTTAATATTAAATAAATCATTACACTGTAGTTTCAATTATACTATCCAACACAATTTTTATCTGCATGAAAATAGTGATTGGGCTGCAATTTCAAAAAATTGTAACCTATAAAATCCCACTGTCGTCTGTCTGTCAGTCTGTCTTTCCTTAATCTCGAGAAGAGAGTTGGATAGACGAAAGACAAGACAAGATATGGAAAGCTTAGGAGCAGGAGGCCCCGATTGACTATATACAAACTTCTGGTCCAAAACGGAAGTCACATTATTTCAATTCAAAAATTTTACCCTAAAAGGAATTAGATAGAAGACCGGCACGACTCCAATCGTGATTGAAACTAATTAAATAGATGCTAAAACTGTTGCAATTACGTATATAGGCACTTCCTAAAGTGGTGCAATAACATCAAAGAAAATTTAGAATATAATAAAAAATATACAATGAAATTATCCAAAATTTTATTTTAAAGCATTTACCAATACAATTGCAATATTAATGCATTTTAAAAATAAATACTAGACTAACGTTTAATTAATATACACTTTTGGCTTTACAAAGGCTTAAATGTCATATTTAATTTGCATTGCATGTTTTATTATTTGATTTGTCCAAGTACAGTACATTGATTGGTTACAGATACTCTTTGCAAGTATTGGATTTGCTCTGGTTTCAGAAATAAATTCAATTTGTTTTCCATTGCTTCTTGCTTTTGTGTTAGCTTTTGTATCTAAAATTTTAAAATTCTAAAAGTTATATATATATACTGTATAGTGTTACCACCCGTCCGGTTTTCACCCGGACAGTCCGGGAATTGACTCACTGTCCGGGTGAACTATTAATTTTGTCCGGGAATTTCATTGAAATTGTGAAATTACGATGAAACAAAGTTCTTTCAAATATTTTTACAAATTTACATTATTTTAACAGCGAAAGAACTCGCACTCACTGAAACTCATCTGCAATTCTGCCATGTTAGTCTGTTTACGCCGACGTGTGGCACGCAACCCCCTTTTTTTCTTGATTGTACGATCTGCTTTTTATTTTGCTTTTACGTCTCAAATAGAGCTAACTTATCTATACCGGTTCATTCTTAATTTAGGTTACTTACATTACTCCTACGCAAGTCCCTAGTTCAGGCATGGCCAACATATGGCCCGCGAACCGTATCCGGCCCGTCTAATGAATTTATGTGGCCCGCGATTAATCTTTCAATATTAGCTACTAAAGTCCGAATAGCTCGATGAAAAATTCTGACGACTAAAAAAACACAAAAGGTCAACTACTCATTGCGCGTTTAGAGTTAACCCTTCATTACAAATCTCGTAAGTACAGGGTAGAATGTTGATAAAGCATGATAATGTGAAAAATGTATCAGTAATCTCTATCAAAAATTAAGTCTCTACGGGGTGACACCACAATGAGATATCACACCATCTCAAAATCTTCCTAGGGCAGCCTCTGGTTCGGCCCGTGGAAAAAGTTTTCTTTCCAATTCGGCCCGGGGCAAAAACTGTTGGCCACCCCTGCCCTAGTCCCTAACTGTAACTGATTTAGAACTGGTATGCACGTTATTCTTCGCATTGTAAAATGACATTGCGCATGCGTCAGGAACTTCTGTTGGAACAAACCTGACCTGTCGTCCGGGTCAGCGATTTTCAAAAGGTGACAACACTAATACTGTATATAGTATTTTTGAAATCTTATACAGCTAAAGTTGAACATATATAAGACAACAGCAACATTATTTAATGTTTTCTAAGAAGATTATAAATATATGATTTCTTTATTGTTTTCGTCACATAAAAGTATAGTCAGTTTTCCACTCAAACATCAGAATTCATAATATGACATCACTCCATATTTCACATTACAAAATAAAAGTGGGTCTAAAATTGTTTTAAATGTAAATAAAATATTTACCTGCAGTTGTAATCTCCTGTTTTCTGACTGAAGTTGTTTTTTATTTAATTTATCTAACGTATTATCAATACTTTATTCAATTGTTTCTTCTGCCATGGAAGACTCTACTAGAACTATATATATATATGGACTATAAAATACATTATAAGTCAAAACATGTTAAAATAATTATTTTTTCGTACTATATAACATTCCTTGCAAGAACAGCATCATTGAACACAATTTTCAATAACAGCCAATTTATAAAATACCGAGAAAACTTAAGCAAAACAGTAATCTTTATTTCAGATGAAAAAATAACTAGTTCAGCAATTAAATAATCTTAACATTGGTTGTTCTTTCTTCAAAAAGTTTTCTTTCCCTAATAGGCTTCCTTTTGCTCGTAATAGATTTAGGAGGATTGGGCACATTGAAAATTGTGGGGATAACACTCCATTTTAGCAGTTCCTTCCGTCAGTTCTCAGTTCAAATTGAGATTCTTCGAAATGAAGCTGAACAACAAATAATACAAGCTCACGTATACATCTCAAAGACAGTACCTATGGAAAAATACATGATATACATTAACCTCACACAGTTTAGAATGTTCAGTTGACTGCCACTTATCCCGTCTGAAGTTCTGCACCCATTTTGCTTTTCTCTGCTTATCTACAGGAAATCTAAATAATCGAACATCTGTAGATTTACTCTTACAATTTGGTGCTACACAATAACCCATTCTTTAACGTTCTGAGTACAGTAAGACCCCGCTTAACGCTGATTCGATATAACGCAGTCTGCTCGAAGCCTAATAAAAAGCTCAAAATTTATGCTGATTTAAATTATCGCGGAATTTTATTGATTCGTACTGTACATAATACGATTATTTACGAACACGAACCAATCAGAAAAAGGTGGCAAAAAGATGTACTTTCTTTAAATCTATGTTTGTTTGGCGCAATTTTGGAAAAAATATAACATCATGAATGCCATAGGCAATATCGGCTTCGCTTGGCAAGAATTAACTGATAAATGCACAAACGAAGTGTGGAAGAAGTTATGGCTGAAGGTATCCAAGAATTCTCAACGAGACAAGCCTATCGCTGTATCATTAGGTTGATCAAACTCAACCTAATCGATACGGCATGACTAGGAGATGTAGACGAGTAGGATATTGAGGAGTTACAGCAGGTTTCTGGTGAGTCTTAACAACGACGACCGTCAATAACTGGCAGAACAAGGAATCCATGTAGAACTGGAAAATAGTCATTCTGAAAACGAAGAAGCCAAAAAATTTCTCTACAGATTTCCTTAGTAAAAGTTTGGTAACGATAACCGAAATCGTTGATCAAATTGTAGCAAATGATCTAGATTTTGAAAGGAGTGCATAAACAAAACGAGACGTTTTGGATGCGATCTTCTGATACCGACATTTGCTTAATTAAGGAAAGAAAAAAGCGACAAATGAAACTTCACAACTTTATTGCAAAAAAAACAAGAATTTCAGAAAAGCCAGGACCTTCATCACAAAAAAATGAACTTTTCTGTGTGCATATGTTTATGTGTTATTTAACATACATTATTATACAAATTAATATAAAAATAACTTAAAATTGAAGTAAAATTTGTTTATTTTCGGTNAACTGAAATAATCCACCCAATGCACTGAAATCCTTTGTTTCCATTTTATATATCAGACACTTTTATCAATTTACTGCATCTGTTAATAATATATCAAAAATTAATAATATATTTTAGAAACAAATTTAAAAATATAAAAGAAAATATCTGATATTAACACATTAATGATTAGTGTTCTTTTAAAAGAATGGTTAAAGAAATTAGGCTATTTCAATAAAAATTGTTAAATTCATTTAAATGACAAAATAAATTTATTAAAAAATAAACTTTCTAATAGACTTTTATAAAAAAAAATATTGAAATTATCATTAGTTATAATATTTGAATTATTTTAAGAAACTGATTTTTATATTCAGAAATATTTGCTATAAATTTTATTTATCAAACAAAGACAAAAACATTACAACATTACACCAAGTCACAGTAAACACATTAATATAAATGTTATGAAATTTTTCAGACTAACATGTAACTTTTAAAATGTCTAACATGTACTTTTTTATTGTTGTTTTAAACAAAACATTGGGCATATGACTTCATAGAAATTCTACCTCAAACAATAGAGAATATGATCAGAAAGTGCAAGCTAGATAAGAAAGAGGCTCAAGGAAGGGACACACAGGCAGATATACAATAGTTGAATATATGGCATCTCTACACAATATATATAAAAAGATGGAAGTAGCTACAAGAAAGAAAATTACTTAGAAAAGAAATCCCACTATATATGGACTACTGCAGAATGATAAAGAGCCCATCAATACAACACACATTCTAGATGTACACGAAATACCACTCAAGGACAACAGGATTAAGTGAGACCTGTACTACACAGGTGCTACTAGTCGGTCATTAACATCACGGATTAAAGAACACAAGGATAGCATCCAGAACGCTAACTCATCTACAGCACTAGCAACTTACATCATGTCTGACCTAAAGTTCATCTCAGTAGACTGAAAGCAGGCTAAAATAATCCAAAAAGTACAAAGTATATTACCTATCAATT